CTTGAATATATTTTTATATATTTTTATTTTAGAAATAGAATGAAATTTACGTAAAATATTTAATGTGGAGGAACCGATCTTTGCGAAACATAATATTACCTAAGCAGCATTAATATTTTGAATAATTTTTTTAGAATTTACAAAAGTTGCAATATTGATATAAAATCTCGTAAAAAGTAGCATTATTTTTCTTCTTTATTTTGTCACAAATTATAGCCACATTTCTAGGAATTAGAATAAACTTTGAATCATTCGCTTCGGATGACTAGGACATGTACAAATATGGCCGCCACTTGGAAAGATTTATTCGGATAGATAAAGCACGATGAACAATTACTCTTGCGGTATTAAATCTAACCGGCTACAGATATATTTAAAGTATTAAAATATCACTAAATATATGCAGAAAATGGCCCATCTAAAAAGGGTATACCCATTAATCTTACGACCTACAGTGACCTCTTGCGTGTCACTGATTTGTACTACTGTGAGAAATGATCTGTCAAGGGAAGCACAGTTCTAATGAATGGAATCAGCGTTTTTGAATATTTTATACAAGATATTATACTGTTTTTGTAGTTCTCAAGTCTTTTCATTGACACAAATAGTATCATCAGTCATTTTTTTTTTTGGTACTTGTGTAGTCGACAGACTTTAGGACACGTGACACACATATAGAAGAAAAGAAACCGATTTAAGAAACCTATATTCTCTTTGAAGCAACGAATGAATTATGGTTTAACTATGGTTATTAAAAATTTTGCAATTGTTTCACTACCTTTCTAATTTTAACTATCAGTTTGCGTGCCTTTAACAGTTCCAAATGGGATTTCGAAACTTGAATTACACATGTTTCTGAAGGACCAAGAATTCTCGGTGTGGCAAAATTGAGAATATTTTTAATACGTGCAATATTCAAAATGTCAAAAATTGGAAATGAAGAATATTCATAATGTTAATAATTGGATAAGCAGAATATTCAAAATTTTCAAAATTGGAAGCGTAGAATATTCAAAGTGTCCAAAATTGGAAGTGTTGAATAATCAAGATGTCCAAAATTGGAAATGTAGAATATTGAAAAGGTCTAAAATTGAAAATGAAGAATATTCGAAATGTCCAAAATTTGGAAATGTAGAATATTCAAAATTTTTTGTATTGAAAGCGCAAGATATTCAAAATGTCAAAAATGGGAAGTGTAGAAAACTGAAAATGTCCAACATTGGAAATGCAGAATATTCAAAATTTTAAAAGTTAAAAGCGCAGAATATTCAAAGTGTCTAAAATTGGAAATGAAGAGTATTGAAACTGTCCAAAATTGGAAGTGTATAATGTTGAAAACGTCCAACATTGGAAGTGTAGAATGTTCCAAGTTTTAAAAATTGAAACGCAAAATAGTCAAAATGTCTAAAATCGGAAGTGTAGAATTTTCATAAGTTCTTAAATTGGAAATGTAGATTGCGATATTTTTCATTTTCCGATTAGGACTGAATCAAAGCTAACGCACACCCACGCAGCTCTGATTAAGATTTCGAGTTCTCATCATTTCAAATTTCAGTCGATCCTCTCGTCGATATGCTGGAAAACAAATTTTAACACCTGAACGAACTTACCATCTCGCTACATTTCTTCCATCAACTATACTTAATAGCGTCGAAAACATCTTTTAGAACATCTTCACATCCTACGAACATCCCTAATACACCGAAATCCTTCGTTTTAACCTTTTGCCATCTCGCTGCTCCGAATTTACATTAAAGCTTCACTCCGTTAAGTTTAACACGTTCGCCATGGAGTTTCAACACGCTCGCCGTCTTGTAATCGATACCCTTCAAGCGATAACATTTTCTCTCCGTTGCTAATTTTTTATATTCTACTCTTAAACATGGCCGCAAAATTGTTACTAACTTTAATAACTTCCGGTCGTCGAACTGCGAAGCGTGCTATTATAAAATGTAAAACAATAATTGGGGATTATTAAATTTTGCATAACAATTGCAAGTGTTACTTCGAATACGAGAAGAAAGGTTTCAGTGATTTTCGTGTAAGCTGTATTTTAAAGTAGCGAAGAAAGATCGGGCTGTTGCAAAATAGAATAACAACACAAGTGCAGTGAAATTTCCATAGTATTTTAAACTCACAGGTTTCGAAGGCTAATTGCAGCGAAATAAATATAATTTAGAAAAGTGGTTAAATTTAAAACAGTAGAAAAAAAATGGAATTACGTTTCATATGCATGCTTTCTCAACAAGTCACCCGGTATGCTACATTTCCGCGTGTCCTATACCTCAGTATGTATCTATATACACTACGAGCCAAAAGTTTGGGAACATTGTGCATTGCACGTTGCACAAAAATTTCCAAAAGATATGTTAGCAATTTTAAGAATTTTTTAACGAATTTTTTATCATTAAAATTGATAAAAGATTCAATATTTATGTAAATTAGCAGATACATAATTCCAAAATTTTAGGCGGCAGTGTACGACTGTTAAATTGAAGTGACACGTGAAAGCTAACAGACTGATAAGACTGATAGGGGTTCCAAGAAATAACCCTTAAGGTTAAAATTAAATAAAATAAAATTAAGGTAGAAATAAAAATGGAACAGCAGGAGGGGGTGTGAAACGATTGGAAATCTCAACACAAAGAATAAAGTTCCTTCGGCAAAACGCTTTTATTTATATACAAAAATCACAAGTTAAAGTATACGTATCATATATACTATCGACGCTCGATACGCGTCCTCGCAGCTGCGATAGCGTCGTCGCTTTTTTCGCGTTTCACGTATGAAAGCAGCGTGGGCGCATCGGCACGATCCTGTCGTAGACTGCTGAACAGTGCGCATTACTTTCAACTATACAGGTAAGATAAAAAAAAATCTCCAAGTATACAAGTTATTATATACCGTCTGGCTTGCGCCTTGCTTTTTTTTTTTTTGTTCTGTTACGTATAATCCTAGATTAATATACCACACTATATTTATTTTTATGGTCGCATTGGAGGCTCAGGGTCGGTTCTGTCCATGGCAAGCTGGCTCAAAATCAGGTCACGTTTGAGGTATACTTCGGCTGATTAACCTGTGAAATCAACAGTTTTTCGTTAATTCCTGAAAAAGTAGGTATTACCTTCACGTTAACTATTATAACAAATTCAATATATTATAATTTCTAATAATTAATAATTTTTCACGTCAATTATCATAATGAATTTAATATATAATAATTTCAAAATTTTCAGGTTAATTATTGTAACGAATTCAACATATAACAATTTCGTAGAAACTGGAGGCAACGATTGTTCTCAGTTGAAATAATCGAAGGATAATGCAAAGTGTGAAAATCAATTTCACAGACAGAGAGACAGAGACTCGCGTGCGGAAACGGGCAATTTAACTCACGGCAGCGAGGAGTTAAAGTGTCATTAGAGGGTTTTGAGGAGGAAAAAGGACGTACCTCGGCCAGGTGGTCGCGGTTGACCGCCGTCGTCCTCTTCTGGGTGAGCCGCGTTCCACTCAAGCGCCCTTTGAATCTCTGGTGGTATCGGCGGTGCTGTGGGGATGTGAGAGCCTTGCACTTGAAAACCATTCTCGTCTGCTACGTACGTGATGCTGACTTGCTGACCATCCGGTGCCGTATAAGAGTCCGAGCCCTGTGAGACCACCGGTGTCTCGTTGTCTACCTGCTTAGGCTGGCCTGATTCTTGATGGCTGATTCCATTGCTCGTCTCGAAGCTGAACGAAAGTTACAGATATTTACTATAAAACATTCTATCCTATACATCAAACCATCTTAAATTTTCAAGCTATCAAGAGTTAACCCTTCAACAGTTTATCCCGAGTGAGATCAGGGCAAAGTGTTAAGTACCTAACTGTTTAGCTCAAGAGAGACTCTTAGGAAGAAAGTTGAAAAGGGACGAGATATTATTGTCGTAACTGTGACGTTGGGTTGTGTATCCCTTGTTTTAATAATGATCACACATGATGTAATTATTACAAAAATTTTTTTTTGTAGTCCATAATTTTATTAGAGTGTCAACTCAGTGTTTTGTGTCACTTTCTGAAAAATAACCTTAATGTGATCACTGAGAACTATCATACATTGGATCTTGCAATTTTTGAAAGATTTTTAATTTTTAAAATTAAATTTGAAATTTAATTAAAATAAAATTTTAATTTTTAAAAGATATTAGGGATTGTACCATAACAGTCTACAGGTAGTTCTCACTTCACAAATTTTTTGGATGGAAATTTTGGGGGAAATGGATGGAAGGGCAGGAAATTCTGCATTTGAATTCAACACTAGAACTACCAAACCCGTAAAAATGACGAATTTCACATTTCGTACTTTAAATTATAAAAATTATTGAGATGCTTTTGTTCAAGCATATGGTGTCTTTTGTTGAAATAAAGAAATAATTATATATTCCAATTTATTTTTCATTAATGATTCTAATTTCGCAGTTCTTTATATAGTTTTATCTAAAGATACCAGAAAGGACAAAATTTCACCCAAAAATTCAAATTCAGTTGTTCTAGTGTTTAGTTGTAACCTCATGGCGGTTGGTTATTTAAGAAGGAAGTAGATAAAGAGAGGATAGGCGGGAAAGAATAGTGCATTAGACTCAGATTAATAGTTGAGTCGTATAATGCAAAAGTGGCTCGAGTCAATTTTTTGCCTATTTAATTTAACACCACATCTCGAAAACTCAACTTTTGTACAGAGATGGTGTAAGTATATCTTCATTAGTTTGTAGGTAAATGGCAAAATAATGGGTGGAATGGTATAATGGTGTCTTGAATAAAATAATTATACGTATATCTTGATTTTCAGGGCAAAATGACATTATTAGCTCAAGGTATAATTATATAGTGGCTTACAGAAGAGAGATGTAACATTCTTTCGTATTATTCAATTTTACAGAACTTTTACTTTGTCCCTCACTATCCAGGATTCAAGTTTTTCGACGTAAACCACTTTCGCGTAAGAAGTACCGCCACGAACCAATTTATAAGGTCGCTCATGACCTTACGCAGCTGATGCGACAATAAATTCACGTATAAAAAAAAAGAAGAAAGTTGCAGAAACAACGAGTTGGAAACATGGAACGAAAGAATAATTGGATCGGAATTCGAACATGAATCTTTTTTACTAAACCTTTCGCTGCGACAAAATCTTTCATTTTGACGTTTAAAAATTTTTTTAAATTTATCTTCTTTAAATTCCTATTATTAAATTAGAGTGAGAGTTCTCAAAGGATTGAATTGCAACCAAAATTTAAGGATTGAATTTTAAGCAAATTTTGAGGGTTGAATTTTAAGCAAAATTTAAAGATTGAATTTCAAGCAAAATTTAAGGATTGAATTAAGGCGAAAGTGTACCAAAAGTCCACAACAGCACAGTGCGAGAAAATTTTCAAAGCGCCTCTAGTCTCCAATAACAGTAAAAGGGTTAATTGACTCTTTCGTTCCTTAAATCTTCCCTTTTCAAAATCCACACTTTCTCCTATGTGTTGACTTCGGAAACGATTTTTTCCATGCATAACAACCACATTTAGCAGAAACGTAGTCAACGTTGCCCGAAGTCTGCGGTGAAAGCTGTGTCGTATCGAGAGACTGTTCCAACGTTTCACCGGCTTTACAATTAACTTCATTAACAAGACACCGATACTGTACCGATGCTGCGTCATCAGACACCTGATAACGTGAATGCAACGCTGATGTAACGTCAAAA